GCGATTTGGCCAAATCGCCACTTTCACGCGACTTGGCGATTTGCCAGATTTCTACGAATTTATCATGCGCGCTTCTCGAAAGCATAGGCGGGTAGTTTGTGTAAGTTGTAGCAAATGGGTTGAGATCTGACTAAAGGAAACACATTGAAGACGAATTACAGAGAGTCGCTGTTGTGCCAAATCGCGCAGCGATAGGAATCGCGCGAGGTAGGCCTTAGGCCTTAGGCGCACATCGAAAACTTTCCCACCAGAACATCGCGTTTGACATCAGCATATCTGTTCTTTCCAAGGAAACGAATATTGCCGCGCGAAAAGCCATAGAGGCTTGTTGGATATCATGCAGATGTCCTAAACTAAACAGGAAAGGAGAAAGGGTTGCCGTCAGCAATGAACTCGCCCCTTTCCTACAAATGTGTGGATTCGAGTCTGACCATACAAGGAAAGTTCATTCCATCACACTAAACGGCGAGTAGTGGTCTGACACGTTGCCAGAGTGGTGGGCGTACCCTACACAGTATTGTTGAAGGTATGTCTACCCTTGGAGTGAATTACTGCACGCGTTGACTCGCTTCCAGGTCTTGAAGAAGGCGATCTTCGCCGAAACGTAGACCGTACTGATTGCTAACTGTTACTGGCAATAAAGGAAGAACTATCAATCTTGGAAAGCTTAACATCATATATCGTAAATGACACTATGCCAAGATTCAGAAATAGTCGAACGTGGAATAGCTTTTCCATTGTTTTTATATCAATCGTTAGAGCAAACCTAGTAAGTTCTAGGTGAGGCGTTCAAGCTAGCTTCGAATTTTCTTGACTTTGCGGGTCTTTGGGGCCAGGTTACATTGGGGCAGCAGTTTTTAATCCATTATTTGAAAGCGACACGAGATGTCATCTCTGACAATAGACGACAAGAAACAATATTTTATTACTAGGAAAAAGTTGACTATTTTGTCCTTACAACAAGTTGATCAGATTGAAAATTGTGCGCTTTTCTAACTTCAAAATACACTGAAAAGTATACCACGACATATTTCATAGAGTGCAAGAGGTGATTTGACATTGCACTTACGAACATTCACATCTTCCACAGGATCCTTTTGGTAAGATTACGGTGAGTGCAGAATAAGTGATCGAGATGCAATGCTAGAGCCGCTTATAGAGATTGCTTCAGGATGCTACTTACATACTATATTATCCGCCCTTCTAGGTATGTGTAAATAGATCTAAACAAGAAAAGTTTTTTTATTCAAAGCTTTAACCGGGAGACAGACTCCTCGCCTCCACAAAAGCAGCACCCCTATCCCTGGATAAGTGTGGGAGAGGCGGGTTTGAAGTTGCCCCTCTCAGACCCTTTCTAGCTGCAGATATTTTGAGATTAACTAGTTCCTGCGAATATATCAACGGTGAACGCAAGTGATAGCTCCATCAATTTTAGAAGAGCCACCGGTAAGGAACGCCAGTGTGGATGAGGTTTGGCTGCCGAAAATGAGACGACAATAAAGACGATTTGTATTTACAACGCACGCACATCCGCATCGGACGCATCCGTCGAATACCAGTTGACTGCACATAAGGAAGATCAGATACGATGGACCAAGACAAGAAGGTCGTCCGACACCCCATTCCCACGTTTAAGGGGGAGGAAAATTGTTCCGAGAACATGCGACAACAGAGGAGTTGGCGACATGGAAGTTTTTGTCAGCACGAATTCGGCCAACATCGATTCTTTCAGCTAACAACCTGAATTGCGCCTTTACGAATATCGAGACGTGGATCAATCCCAGCCTGCAATGAATCATTGCCTACGTCCCTACACTGAGCTACGACAAGGACAGACTTGAGGAAATCATTGTCGCACTATATCTTAGTGAAACAGGGTAGACACGGAAAAAGTGAATAGGGGGCATTTGATAAAGCAAAAACTGTGCAATATGGGTTATGAACACAAACACATCCGCTTCCGCAAGCTCTGTTCCACCTGAAGTCTGAAGCCAAAACTTGAGAAATAGGAATACTCAAGAAATCGAAGCTCTGTCTGTAAAATCTCTAGTGATCTCCAGTTTGCCCATGCATGTACTCTGCATTAGAAGTTCATGCAGTTTGTGGAGAGAGTTTTTCCATAATTAGCAAGGGTGTTGCGTCAGCAAGTTAGGAATCCTTTAGATTTGTTTGAGCTTACTATTAGATTTTTTTCCGATTTCAAAAGCATACGAGCCTTGAAATTTTGGCTTCAAACTTCACGTAGGTCGAATTTTGCGAGCATTCGAGCTTTATCTTATGTGGCTTCCATTGCTCTACCGAACAGCACCCCATTCACTTTTATTCGTGTCGATCACCTCGCAACATGAATGATAGCCGATAATTTGACATTACTATCCGAACAACCTAATATATGGACTTGGAAAAGTTCTACAGAAAAGAGAAACCCTTTTACAAGATCATCGTCGGTGATTTCAACGAAGATCTGAGCCAGCAAGATGTTTTGCGAGCTACTTCGGAATTATAAACTAGGTTGTAACGAACAGGAAGAGAGACTGTTCGAGTATAACAGAAAACAAAGGACCATTCATGTAAACTTACAGTACCTGAGGATCGCCCGGAGGAGAGTATCATTGACCACACCATCATCAACAGGAGATATTGCTCGACAAACGTTGCTATTGTTCTGAAGTTCTACTAAGGATCAGCTTATTGCCTCTTGTGACAAGTTCCACTTTTCACGGGATGGAAAGAAGTTTTAAGGTCAAGAACAAGCCCACGACTGCTACACTACGTGTTTATTTTTCGTGCCGATATCGGCACTTCTTCACAGCCGTGCCATTTCTTCGCCAGATATCGTAAAGGTCATGCCATAAGCATGACTGCTGTGATATGAGTGTGTTTATTGTCTAGATGCATGTTAAGTTACTTTGCTCCGCCTGTTATTCCTAGCATTCTCCACTGCACGAATGGGTGCATGTCGTCTGTTCAGTAAAGCTCTAAGAGCTTACGTGTTAATAACATATCAGGAGCCACCATACTCCACCAGGGCCCAGCAAGAGGGTGGCAAATGAACATTGGTACAACGACTTCGCCTTTGCCACTTCGATTTTCACGATTTCCAACATGATTTCCAACTGCGTAGGTTGCTCGATTGGAGCGCGCTTTCTTCTTTCAAAGAACCGGCGTTGTTGCTATTTTTAATTTTAACACGTTTCGGACCGCGAAAGCGCGCGCAGCGAAAAGGAGGGTATTTTAAGCCATTAGCCAACAAAGGGACCTTAATTCGTAGATTGTGTGCTACATCTGTAATCAGCTTGTTAGATAAGATCCATAGCCAAAGTTCTGAGTGAATTCGAAGGGTTTGAATTTTGTCGTCTGAGAAGGACTTCTGTGCTTTCTTGAAAGATAGGAACAAGAACTCAGTTTCTAATTGTATCCAAAAGTACCTATGTTGTACACGATATACATCATTGTTGAAATTATGGTTTTCTCTTTGTATTCAAAGCTAAGAAAAGTTGCGACGTTGCACGCGTCGTTCGCGTTGCCGCATTTCGTTGCAACTGATGTTCGTGGCCTCATATCTCCTGAGCAAATATCGATGGCACAGCTCTACAGACCCTTTCGAAAAGGAGAAGCTTAGGCCTTTGACTTAATAACCTCGGACAAAAAGAAAACCTCCGCTAAACATTGAAAGGATCCTTCAAAGGCGCGTGCTGCACCATGTGCAGCATCGGTCCGAAACGTGTTAAGAAGGAGGAAGGGAGGAGTTTTGGAAGCAAAATGTTACTATATACCAAACTTAAGGTGTAGAACAGATTTACGTGGAAATTTTGAGAAAATTATGTAAACTGAAAGTTTTGCCTACCTCAGGTGGGCAATTGCCCACCTAATTTGGGAAGAAGTTGGAAGCGCTCTTCATTCACATAAATTTTCATAATTTTTGATAATTTGTTCCTTAGTCCTACTGCACGTATACACACCAAATCTCGAACGATTTCGTCATTTTTGCGTTGCAAGCGAGCCATTTTTCCATTTTTTGGTAGCGGGAAATTTTGAAAAAATCTTGCCGCATCCTTCGGTCACATAATTTTTCAATGGAACTTCTCAATTAACCCCTGCGCCCTTGTTTATGCATGAGAGCAAATATGATGATTTTTTTCTTACACATATGCGACAGTAAGTCTGGCACATCTTCAAACCTTTAATACATTGGAGCACACTGAACAAAGAGTTTATCTCTGCCATTTGCTAGAACGATGTAAAACAGCAGAAAACAGGTGGAGAACAGGTTTATGTTCAGGATATTGTTCAGGATATATATATATATTTGTTTCAGGATATTCCAACTGCTGATTAAGTCAAAAAGCGTTTGCGAATTTCGAAAACATTGAGAGTGATATTATAATATTTGAGAAAGATGTTCACACGTGACTTACCAAAGTTGCCTTAGATCCTAGTGCGATCTACTGGGTTTTTAAGGACGAAGTAGTTTCAAACTGTTGTTTCCAGGCAGAATTGTCTATGCAAAACTAATGACCAACTTCTACGGTGTAAACAGATGCTTTACTCTCATATCTTTCGGATAACGGTCGGCACAGCCTTCCAGCTTCTAAACAATTTGTTAATTTCTGCTAGGTTTTCCCTCTGCTTGAAGATTTTGAGAGTAACAAGGAGAAAAAAACGGTGAAATTCGTACCTCTGCAAGACGTAACCGTGAGTCTATGTGACTGCTGTACTTGTGGCCTATAATTCTTTGAAGGATTAAATTAGTCGTTTGCAATTAGCTGTAAAGTTTTAAGAAAATCTCTTTATCGGTTATACGCATTTTAGAGATGAGACTGGTTGCAGCATAGTTCTCATTTTCTTCTGCCGATAGGTTTTTCGCTTGCTCGTTTATGATTATAGTATCAGTGAATAAACTGAACGAACACCGCGAATTTGCACTCAAATTCCAAAGCTCCACTTTAAATTGTTTCCGTTTCAATGCTACGAAATCTGTCATAATGCAAAATTTTGATGTAACAACTTCCATGCTGAAACTGCTTTATTGTGCAAAGACTGAAAAATTCATGCACAAAACAGGAGACATTCGTAAATGTGCTTTGCAAGCATACATGTTCAGATTGGGTATCTTATTGGGTCTGGTTTATAGCATTGGCACTTCGTCGATCCTTCACATCTTGATCCTAAGAATCCCTGCAATATCACATGAAAAAATACTTTAAACATTCGCAGCAAGTCGTTTATGACTTCTTATTTGAGAAAACACGAGATTTCTTGGTATACAGCATTTCGCTCATGGTGCTCTAACTTAATCAAAATGTTGCCCCTGCCCTAGTGCAAAAAGGTGGAGTACGTTTTGAATGCAGAAGGGAGAGAGGTTACAAAAGTCAGTAAAGAACATAACAACCGTAAACCAGTGAACTGTGGTTACTGCAGTTACCATCTTCATATTAGAGCAGGGTAAGGCCACTTCTTCGCAGTGGCAGATCAAACGGGTGGAGGAACGAACACCTCAATTAGACACCGCTCATGCGGATGGTCCCAAAACGATGCACAACAGTAGGACAAAAGGACCAGCAGCCAGCGGAGGCGGTGCCTAATTGAGGTGTTCCTTCCTACCCAGCACCACTCACACTAACGGTTGTTTACATGTATAATAAAACTGCGCAGCCCAACAGTTTTTTGCTTGTGAATTCTGAGAACTATCCAATTTTTATAACAACTCAAAATTGTAAAATTCTAACGTGGGCTCGCCAAGGTTTTTTTATCGGAATTTTGGAGTTAAATCTCAAAAAAGTCGAAAATCATTTAGAAATTTTCTCTTTCGTCTAAAAATCTGCCGCGGCAACTCGAGATGTCGTGATGGGACCTGGCATACGACGATCGGGAAGTCCATACCTAGTGTTACCTCCACTTCAGACTTTCGCCCTCTCGTCTCTATCGTCTTCACATTCTCCACTACGGCTGGGAGAGGAAGGAGGGTGGGGGACACGGACTTTCCATACAATGCTACCAGGTTTTTTTGACTTTCTGGCAATATACAAAGTGCTAATACTATAACAAGGAATAATAAACTCATCTGGAACATCTCAAAGTTTATACTGGTGAGAATAAATTTGTGGTATTCCTCGTTATAGATTGGGCTTTCAAATGCGAAGATTTGCGAACCTATCCGCATCGGAATTTCATAACGTAGACGTGAGGTGCGAAACTTCCCACCTCTCCGCGGAAACTTGTACCTACGTCGCGGAATGCTCATCGTTTGAAAAGTCACTCGCTTCCAGTATTAACTTTTGATGTCATTGCCGCCTTGTTTTTTTTGGTCAAATTTACTGAACGCAAAGGTATAATTTCTTACCGCTTCCAGACACTCTCTTCCGCACCTTGGCTGAACACATTTTTGCATATGTATGGTTATTATGATTTTCCTTTCGACACTTGTTGTAAAGATGGGAAACAGCAGAAAACTAATCAGGAATAGAATCATGTTCGTAGAAAGTGAAGTGCTTTTCTTCACAGGCTGCGAAGTTCTAGAATCTGCAGTGTTAGGCACAGGCTCTGTTTTCTTTTGTACAACTAGTTTTATTCGAGTATTCAGAACAAATAAAGTTCATAGTTTATATGGTAGTTCAAGTTTATAGTTTATATGATAGTTTATAGTTTATATGGTAGTTTAAGTTTATAGTTTATATGGTAGTTGTGCTCTCGCTTTCCTGGTAAAATGGCATTTTTCATGGTTTTGTAACAAAGCAATATATCAGTTTTATGTCTATCATGAATGCTGGTTTGTCCCACAAAGCGATTATAGATGATTTTGTAAATTTTCTTATTAAAGAAACTAACTATGAGAGGTAAATGCGTCTTTCAAGTTTCCCAAAGGCGACTCTCTAGGCGGTTGTTAGCAGTTTATATGGTAGTTGTGCTTCATAGAAGGGAATTGAAGTTGTTAAGAAAAGTAAATCGATTTTAACATAAAAAAGCTTACATATACAGCTATATGTCACGAATTGACCGAACTTCTCAAGTAAGTGGATATGTGGTGAACTTTTGATAATTATATGGTATGTCGTACACGAGGGCACGTTGGTTCTTCCACAAAGTGCGATTTGCAACAAAAGATGGGAAACAGCAGAAAACTAATCAGGAATAGAATCATGTTCGTACAAAGTGAAGTGCTTTTCTTTGATGAAGAACACGTAGTTCACGCACTTTTTGCTGCCGTAGACGATGTGAAGCACTGATGCTCACACCTGTGGCAGAGGCATCCTTTCCAGGTCACAGGATGCTTCCATTATTTTGCAGTAGTGCCAGTCTTTGAGGCTTTTGGGACCTGTAGACTGTTCCTTTAAAAGGTTTACAGATGTTTACAAAACAATCTTACATTTTTTGAATAAGAACTAAAGGTTTCCACAACAAAATGTTGTGCAATATCGCGTCGTCTCACAGCGCCGCCAGGCGTAATCAGGCGTCGTCGTCAGTGCTTAATGCCTGGTGGAGGGATTGGTTTGCACTCTTTATCGAAGTTATAAAAAATCGCACTTTTTTGTTTCCGACCTCAAACTCACATCAAATCAGTCGTGCGTTGCTAGTCTAGTCAACCATCTTTGTTATCTTTGCATAGCGTCATGACATGTACCATTTACTTTATCTAAATTCTTCGGTGCTTACAAGTGGAGTAATACAGTTGTTTTGGGAGTTAATGTGTAGAAAAATAGCTGAACCGTCAGCTCTGTTTGAGTGCCTTGTAATGAATTAATGCAAGTCCCACTGATTACAATATGTTCTAACTGCAAAACTTGACACCGTCGACCATTAATCATGAACTCTTTTCCAAGTAAAACGCATGTTGAAAGGATAGATAAGATAGAATAGTTCGTTTTGTACTAAGAAGCGACATTAAAACGGTCAGGTTTGCGTCCCAAGTGCTAGAAAAATATGTGTAGTCATGTCTTTACATAAGAATTTGATGATAGCAGTTCATACTGTATCTGCTGCACTAGATGGTGCGCGTCCATATTTATAATGCGAATGTACTTGATCCTATTCTCAACACATAACACTTGTTTTGGCGATCGCTACTTCCAGCAAACGAGAAGCACGCCTTCGCCCAGTAAAAGTGAAAACATTGAAGCGAAGCGGCAGATATCAAGTTGTCGACCGCTTTAACATGACTGTGTGCAAAAAGATTGGAACGTCTCACCATCATAGTCTCCACGTTGTAGGGCACACAAAAGACGTAGAAGAAAATTCTGAAATTTTCCCATAGATAATTTATACAAGAAAAAAAGATTTTTGGACTTTATATGTAATAACACGCCATATGCAGGCTTCAATGTCAAAATATCAAATGAACGTAATATCGTAACGTTCCTCAAAAACAGAATTGAAATCGTATTTGTTGGTTTATGAGAGAAATATGGCGAGTAATGGCTATGCTGTTCCATTCTTTTACTGCCTGTGGTTTATGTTTGAAGGCTACACAGTGATAAAGGTAAACCTTGAGAAGACAACATTATGCGGCGTCACTGCCCCACATAGTGATAAGGCAAGACGCCGCAAGATATTGTTTTCTCAAGGTTTTTGAGAGATATCAGCTATTAACTGTATCGTAATAGTTGCAACGCAAAATATCAGGTTAATGCAAAATGATGTCCATTTTGAATAGTCCTACTCGGAAAGCTATAAATTTGTCCAGTCTTCATATTTTTGAATTTGGTCAAAAACATTGAAAGCAGTAAGCCTTTCGTAACATCGTGCACTCCTAATCTTATTGATATTGCACTTATACTATTATTATAAACGCGAACAAAAACATGCGTCAAAAAAAGAAAGATTCTCTTTTGAAAACCTTGTTTTGAAACCTTACAACTACCTTCAAGTATTGTTCCTAGAGCTGGTAGTCAGCTCGTTTTGTAGCCGCAAGCCAGTAGCAGATGCGTGCATAAAAAACACTCAAGGAGGGATTTCTGCGAAAAAAGAAATAGATCCAAATTTGTCTACCTTTCTTGGACCTCTTTGTGGTTATGATGAGGTTGTAATTCCTAATTCCTTAACATTTATCTGCATGCACTGTATAACTGAGTTTCTCTACAAAAATTTAGGCAAGAGGTCCTAAACTCAAGCTCGAGGCGTCGATATCGCAGTCCAGATATTTTCGAAAAATCTACTTAAACATGCAACAGGTAAATAACATTCATCACCTACCGTAGCTATGTTTCCACAAGAATTCGTCCAACTGCGTCTGAACTGTGGCCGAGTAATGGGAGGCACTGAAATTCCGACTTTGAGTGCGGATGTGCGAAATGCTGGTAAAATTTTCACAAATGAGGATAGAAGACTAGCTGCACTACTATTGGAAAGTATATAAAGAAAGATTTCCAATAATATGCAATATCTATACAGAAAAAGAAAATTTGATGCGAAAAAGTTGTTTGGAATATAGGCCTGGATAAACGGACGCTATTTTTGCACCAATCTAATAAATTCTGAGCGCTCGGACGATCGTTTTCAGATCAGTCAAATCATGTAAAAAGAAGCATGCGTAGAATTACGAAACTCTCAAAGTTTGTTACATTTTGTAAATTTTTGATTATTAAGATTTTTGTGATTATAACATGTCCCTTATGTATTCTTCTGCTGCGTGGTTTACTGATAGGCCATACTTTTACCCCTCTTTAACTGCCTGCGGTGGAAAATCATACATATCTAAGTAGCTAGTCTGCTTTTCTTTGCTCCCTCCGCCACTCTCTCCCACAATCAAATTTTATCTTCATAATTCGAAAAACCATGTAAGGGCAATTTAGAGAAACCTGGAAAGTTCTCAGAACGCTCTAGAAACGTCATTTGCTTACTCCTTTGAAAAAAACTGTGAAAACTTTGCTGTCCAATGATAATATCATTTTATCACTTATCGTTGGTAAAATAATATATTCGGATCATTTTTGGTGTAAGGTAAGCAAACCATCGTAGGAGAAGCTGTGCAAGTTTTTTAGCCGCGATCCTCACTTTGAAGCGATTCATGAGCTGTTATAGGTTAAATGGATGCATGATGCAATTTTTTTGCCGACCCCTCACTCCGGTAATTGATCGATGACCCAACAAGAAGCTCTCCGTTGTTGAAGTTGAATTTTTCAAAAATCTGTAACTTGTTCAAAGTGTAAATGAAGTGAGCGGAAGGAAGTATACATGTATCGGATATATAGGGGTATCAGAAGTGGGCGGGGCTTACAGTTTACACCTATACAGCGTATGATTTCGTAATTCTTCAATTCTGCAGAACTACAAGCTGGAAAGCCCAAATGACTATATGAAGTCAGTTGAAGGAAGTATACATGTATCGGATATACATAATACCGCTCATAATTCGTCAAAAAAGTCGCCGGACTGCGGCGCACTCCGCCACACTCCGCCACAGTGCGCCGGAGTGTGGCAGAGTGCGCCGGAGTGCGGCAGAGTGCGCCACACTCCGGCGCACTCTGCCGCACTCCACTCTGCCACACGCCATATCTCGCTTCAGAATGGACGAATTCTGAATCCGAGGACACCGTTCGATTCAGCTCGACGAGACGCATCATCTTATATATGAAGCTGAACGTCTGTTTGTCTGTTTGTCTATACGTATGTTCCGAATAGAAAAATCCATTTCTGAACCGATCCGGACCAAACTTGGCACACATACACTTCGGGCCCCGGCGGGTGCCATAAGCTACTTTTCGTCATCGATCAATATCGATTTTATCGATTTTTATTGATTTTTTGCAGAGTTCACCTACGAGGCTGGGAGTTTGCACAGGGGGTAATCGAGCATAGGGATTCCGAATACAATATTAGTTGCCAGGATTATCTATTACTTTTATCGATTTTGTCGATTTTTTTGCAAAGTTTGAGCTACGGGGCTGGGAGTTTGCACAGGGGGTAATCGAGCATAGGGATTCCGAATACAATATTAGTTGCCAGGATTATCTATTACTTTTATCGATTTTGTCGATTTTTTTGCAAAGTTTGAGCTACGGGGCTGGGAGTTTGCCCAGGGGGTAATCGAGCATAGGGATTCCGAATACAATATTAGTTGCCAGGATTATCTATTACTTTTATCGATTTTATCGATTTTTTGCAAAGTTTGAGCTAGGGGGCTGGGAGTTGGCACAGGGGGGTAATCGAGCATGCTGATCACCCCCAAGGGGGGTGATCAGCATGCTCGATTACACCCCTTGCCAAATTCCATCCCCCTAGCTCAAATTTTCAAAAAATCGATAAAATCGATAAAAGTAATGGACGATCCTGAAAACTAATATTGTGTTCGTAATCTGCATGCTCGATTACACCCTGTGCAAACTCCCAGCCCCGTAGCTCAAACTTTGCAAAAAAATCGACAAAATCGATAAAAGTAATAGATAATCCTGGCAACTAATATCGTATTCGGAATCCCTATGCTCGATTACCCCCTGTGCAAACTCCCAGCCCCGTAGGTGAACTCTGCAAAAAATCGATAAAAATCGATAAAATCGATATTGATCGATGACGAAAAGTAGCCTATGACACCCGCCGGGGCCCGAAGTGTATGTGTGCCAAGTTTGGTCCGGATCGGTT